AGGACATCCAGGGCTGGGCCGCTCAGGCAATCCACCAGGCGCCGCTTCTTTTCTTTCTCTGACAGGTGGCGCCACAGGTACAGCATGTTGTAGGCGTGTTCCACCCAGACTTCGAAGGGCTCTTCTTCAGGATCTGCTGCTTCCTGACCTGAAAAGGGCCTCAGCTCCTGAACGCGCAGGTTCTCCAACATAGGTGGCAGAGCATTCTTCCACTTACGCATCCAATCTGGGGGCCTTCTTCCTTCTCTAGGGGCTGCTGCCTCGCCCCATGCCCTGATATCCTCGTAGCCTGCCACTGCCGCTCCAGCTGCCCCACCTACTGCTCCAGCCTCTTCTCCTGCTTCAACTGCTCGTCCTTCCTCTCCAGCTGCTCCTACTCCACCTGCTGCTCCTTTCTGACCTGAGGAGCCAGCCACATTCTCCACTGCTACCTCGCCTGTACCCGCTGGCACATCCTCATAGCCTGAATCACCTAGCACTCCGGCCTCAGCTGCTGCTTCCCTTTCTAACAGACCTTCTACCTCTTCGGAGGCCACTACCATTCCTTGAGCCTCCACACTTGCCTCTCCTGCCTCAGCTGCTGTGCTCGTCACAGGCTCCATTCCACTTTCACTGGTGCCTCCTGCCTCGCCTGCAGTTCCTCCTTCAGACGGAGCAGCTGCCTCATCTGAGACCCCTATGGCACCTGCCATGGCCACACCTGCGGCTCCCTCAGCTGTGCCTACCGCCTCACCTGCCCTGCCAGCCGGCACGGGGCCTGGAAGCTCATCTCGGGAAGCTAGAGTCCCCTCTAGCTCAATATCAGGGACCTGGGGCAAGCAGACCACCCTCCAGGGTCCCCCTTTGCCTGGAATCTGTCGGGGGATCACGCTACGGTTTAAATAATCAGCGAATTCCACCAAGGCGACCCTAGTTCCCAAGTCCCTCCTGAAGACTTTGCCCAGCACTCGGCACGGGCCCAGGGGCCAGAGGGAAGCCCGGACAGCCTCCTCAAACTCTTCCTCGGCACAGTCTTCCGGGATGCCCAGGAGCAGCAGTGAGCGCTGTGCGTTCACGCCCATCCACCTGCACCAGTCCCGCAGCATCGCCAGCGCCATGGCTGTGGACCTGGGGACAACCAGAAGGGGGCATTCCAGTTTCTACAGGGTACGGTCCCAGCGAAGAGAGCGACGTAGGTGCCACCACCCCTATCCCCGTCCCCCGCTGCCCGCCCCAAGATGACCAAGACCTTACCACACTTGCACCTCTGCACTGTTTGCCCTGCCCCCTTCTCTCCTCCGCACCCCACCCCCCACCATAGCTGGGACCCTGGTCTCCCCCCTACCCCCTTCTCTCCTCCGCACCCCACCCCCCACCATAGCTGGGAGCCTGGTCTTCCCCTCTTCCCTGGTCCGTATTCAGTTTATGCTTGTGTTTAGGAAAGTAGTTATCGATGGATGGCATTTCCCTAGGTGTTTGCTGTGCTGTTAACTTTCGATACTCATTGTGATACCCGTGGAGGAGCAGAATCGCCCGGGGAATCTGGGCGCCATCTTTCCAGCGGCTGATCGATCCCCAGGCCTTTCTCCCTCGGAGCCTCTGGGTCACTTACAAACCACAGGGCTATTGACGTTTTCTGTTCGATCCAGGATCAGTTTGGGGCGGGGGTGGGGGGGGGTACTGCTTCATTTCCACACAATCTCTCAGTTCAACTAAATGACCAAAATGAGTTGCTGGCATAAACCAATTCAAACTCGCAGCTACGGAGCCGATGCCGGCTCACAGCGACCTAGACAAGGTGGCACTGCCCCTGTGGGTTTCCCAAGGCTGTATGTAATACTTTTTTTTTTTTTTTAGCTGTATGTAATTCTTTAAGGGAGTAGAAAGCCCTGTCTTTCTCCCACGGAGCGCCTGGCG